AAAGTTTTGGTATGAAAACTCGTTAGAGATTAAAGATCTTTACTTAATCATGATTTGCAATTGTCAATGACTGGTGAACGATCAGGAGTGAGAGTTTTCAATCAAACAATTATACTACAAGTGAAATCAGCGACTAATGTCTCGTTAGATTGGAAGAATATTGACAAGATTACATTCACAACATTTGGAGGCACCAATGCGATGATCAATGGGGGAGATGGTACACATTTTGCAATGGATAATTTATGTATAACCACAGAGTATGTATCTTTCTGAAAGAATATTTATTGCACACTTGCTAGTGTTGTTAACATATTTTTCAATGCAGTCCACAAGAGCAGCAAGAACTACTATATAAATGTGATTATTGGGGTGATCCACAATTGATTCAATTTCCAAAAGCTGTCGGCAGCATAGCTTCGAGTACATGGTGTCAAATCACCGGTTCTTCCATACTTTATCAAAGTTCATATGTTTTGCTCAACGTGGTGAATTCTGGTTCACAGCGTGGAGATATTGTCACTAGTGTAAGTATAAATATGATTAAGTAAAGATCTTTAATCTCTAACGAGTTTTCATACCAAAACTTTTCTAGTTTGAAATGACACTTTATAATGCCGATAAAATCCAGCTTTGCACTTTGACGCCAAGTGATGTGATAGGAACTCCCCAGTCGTGTGGACCAGGTAAAGAAATTTTCAATCTTACATTGATTTCCTTCTATTAAATTGATCGGTTCTCTATAGACGTATCGATTTCGAAAATGGGTTCCAACTTGAATGTTGCGTACAGAAAGGCTCCATTTGCTGCTTGGATTCGATACAGTGTAAGGGAGAAAAAACAAATTTTTCATCTTTTATAGTTCCTTTTTTCCTATATTTGAACAGTCTTGGGGTGGTGGACATTATAAATTCACTCTGTTTGCTACATTGACACATATCAATCAAAATAGTTCGACGGGCATATGTATCAACGGATGTACGGGTAGACGAAATGCACCTCAGTTAATAATAACAAATTCTACAACTCATAAAGAAGTTGTAATAAGTGAAATGGCAGATACTGTTTGTGATACTTTCATTAACCAAGCAACACAACAATTGCCACAAAATAATCTTTCCGTAGAAACAACACCAGGATATCTTGCTGCTGTAAAACAGGCTTGTATCATTGATGTCACCGTCACAGGAAGTACTCAAGTAATATAAACCCTTGCTTTGTCTTTGTATTATGTAATTTGTTGTTGTTATTTTTAGTTCGCAGAACAATCTGTTAGTAATGTCATTACGGATGTTTTGACTCATTCAGGTGAGATCGATATTGATCAGATAAATAATGTTATACAAAACATAACACAAATTGCACAACAAACAAATAATGAAGCTGAAATCCTAGTAGAAACAATGGTTGAAGAAAGTACACTACCATGCCGACCAGGTGTCATTGGTTGTAACGGATGTTCAAAACGAAATGGATATTTCACTGTTTCAATCATATCTCTTTTAGCATTTGTTTGTTCAAATTTTATTCTTTTACCATAAAAATTCCTCAGAAAATAATATTTTTTTTAATCGAAATAAATAACATCTACCATTTTCAGAGACGAACAGTCTCGTAAAATAATTCTTCGTAGCTCACAATCTTAAAAGTGTGATTATAATAAAGAAAGAGAGTGAGGGTGATGGTGGGTGTGGGATGTGTGTGTCGATGTTGTTTTTCTTTTCCCTAATACCTGGTATCCCACCGACAGTTCGTAGAAAAAGAGCAAAAAAGAAGAACTTCATTTTCGAAGAAAAGAGGATTTTGAATAAAAAAAAGAGGAGAAAAAAGAGATGCATCATTTTCGCTTTTAAAACGTAAAAAAGGCTGCCGCGAGGTTTAAATGCCAAAAAATAGAAGCGCTGTTACTATAAATTCAATACAGACTCCAAAAAAGTTGAAAAATGAATGCGATTGGTAGCCGATCACGTGTGTGATTAAATATTTATTATCGACCTCAGAAGAGATGACTACAAAATAACAAGAGACACAAAAGGCAAGGCCTGTATCTAAGGTACTTAACTGTGATATGACTTTATCGAAATAGTCGTAGACAAAGAAACAGAAGTTAAAAATGATCCAATGTCCAAGATCTGTTTTGTTTATAATATAACAAGAGTCGAAAAACCTAACCAAACAGAAAAGACGCAGTAAATAATACATATTTATAAGACAAGAAAACACGATACATTCAGTTCAAAACAAAATTTTCAGTGCGCTCTCTCAAATCTGTCATCATGATCTCAACCATGGATAGTAGAACTTCTCCCTGCAACCACAAAATACCGTTTGTGATCAAGTTTGCAGATTCGGGATTCAATTGATATTAAGTAATATACAAAAAATTGTACTTGGAGAAAATTTTGATCGCAGAATATGATTTGGTTTAGTTTTCACAATTTGTTATGAAATTCTACTAAATGTAAAAAAATCTCTCGTTTTTAAAGTTATATGACACAACGAATTCTTATCGAAATGCATGAAAGCTTATCACTAGATTATCTTTGAGAAGATGGATGATGCAGAAACTTTTGGTGAGTATGAAGTGACATTTGACGAAACTTTTTGCATTTCTCGAAATTTTTGAAGCTTTAATGGATGCTTCAGGTTTCGTTTGTTGTGCGAACTATTGTCAGCGCCAGAATTAAGGATGAGTTGGTGTAAGACGAACATCTTGAGAATGGCACTAGCTAGCGATCTGCGATTTTTGACAAATTAAAAGAGGCTGAGTTACGAAATATTTTCATCAAATATTGTATAAGTTTAAATCATTTCCTACTCAATCTTATTTGGGAATCTTTCTAAAACATGTATAATAATTTACTGTAGTTCCAATGCAATTTTCATATTGATATGAAAATTCGATAGATCGACTTGAGTTCTATAGTTCGAGATATAATGCGAATGGTTGACTCTTCATTGTACAATGTTGAGCAAGTCAAACCGAGCATGGTGTGGGTGTGGGTGTGAGTGTGGGTGTGTGTGGCTGTGGGTGTGTGGATGTGGGTGTGGGTGTGTGTAGGTGTGGGTGTGATATAAGAATAAATCAATACCCACACCCACCCGCACTTGTAGGGGCGCCGGCGATATCGGCTATGAGCTTTGCTTTATGTGCCGATATGTGCGTCACGGCTCGTTGCTCTTCCTCTTTCCTCTTTCTCTCTCTATTGTTCTCTCTGTGTCATATCTCTCTCTTTGTTTCTCTATCGTACATAAGCTTGTATTGAATGTGCAATAGAGACATTTTGGAGATGTACAGTACCTAATAAACATCAGTACCGAGGGTGGCGGAAAGCTACTCCTCCAGTCTAACACATCACCA